GTTTTTTTTCCCCCCCCCCCCCCCCCCCTTTCATATCTATATTCTTCTTACATAGTTTCATCTTGTGAGTCGTTAACTTTCTGCTGAACTCAGCATCATCTTGTTTTATTAGTCAAGGATCAAAATTTCGTTTCGATGCAGTAGCTTAGGAACGGGAATGCTTGGGGAAGAGAATAGAAAGTAGAAACAGACATAAAAAATTTAGAATGTTGATTCCGAAACATTCTAAGACATAAGAAGCCTTGCATTACTGATACATTTCAGTCTCCACCAAAACCTAAACGTTTCGGTTGTTGTTTTAGTGAAAACGAAATGGAAATTTGATCCTTGATTGTAGTTACTTTGTTTTTATTCTGCTGATTGTGGTCCATTTACCAAGTGGAAAGTAGGTTCTTAAACACTGACACAGTTTAAAACTAGTGTTGATGAAGTCATCTATAAAGGTCCACTGATCATCTGTTTCTTGTTCTTGTTTGTAAAGGTGATCACTACTCTCCAGCAACGATGAGCAAGCGTGTGACCGACGAGCTAGGTGCAAAGGACATGGACATTACAAGCGTGCCTTCATCGCACCATCATTCCGAGAACTTGCCATATGTTCACAAGGTGGGAATAGCTGCTAAGCAGAACCTTTTTGAGGAGTTCACAACAACTCTCAAGGAAACCTTCTTTCCAGATGATCCATTGCGCCCTTTCAAGGACCAACCAAAGTCGCGAAAACTAGTCCTTGGCCTTCAGACTATTTTTCCTATACTCAACTGGGGTCGAGACTATAGTCTTTCCAAGTTTAAAGGCGACCTCATTGCTGGACTCACTATTGCCAGTCTCTGCATTCCTCAGGTAGTAAACTTGCATAAAACTAGCAGAATAGCAGAANCTGGGGTCGAGACTATAGTCTTTCCAAGTTTAAAGGCGACCTCATTGCTGGACTCACGATTGCCAGTCTCTGCATTCCTCAGGTAGTAAACTTGCATAAAACTAGCAGAATAGCAGATACAGTTCCATTTTAGACAATTCTGATATTTCTTGAGTCCTCCTTGCAGGATATTGGATATGCAAACCTTGCAAATCTGGCTCCTCAATATGGATTATGTAAGTGACTTTGTTTCTTGTCAGCAATCTAAGAAGGCGGCCTAGTGCATGAGGCTCTCGTAACTCTTTTTTTTTTTTGGCCTTTGGTGTTACAGACAGTAGCTTTGTTCCGCCTCTGATTTATGCCTTCATGGGAAGCTCGAGAGATATTGCCATTGGACCTGTGGCTGTGGTGTCTCTCTTGCTTGGATCTCTGCTGCGGGATGAGTTTGATCCCATTAACCAGAAACTAGAATATCAGCGTCTCGCATTCACTGCAACATTTTTTGCTGGAATCACTCAAGTGACACTTGGTTTTTTCAGGTATTTTGATTCCTTACTACTCGCAAGTCATAGAAATAGCCAATCCGCCTGCAGAGATAAGACTGCACATATAACTGACTTTCTCCGAACTCTACAGTGACACAAGCCTTGAGCACTGGACTGCCTATGTTATAATATTGAGAAATAAATGTGTTGAACATTTCTTTCAACGCGAGTTTTCTACTTTATCTTTCCTTCATTCACATTATAATCCTCTATGTAATCCATGGAGATCATACATCAAAGGAACTAAATTTCGTTTTAAAACGTTCGAAACATTTCCGTTTCCATGGAAATCTAAACGAATTATTGATTGAATATCAAAACTCCTATGTTTCAAGATGTTTTGGAATTTTTTTTTTTAAACTTTCTCTGTTTCCAAAATATTACCGAAACGTTTCCGTTTCTAAGCTCACTGAAACAATGAACGAAATTTTGATCCTTGCGTACATCACTAACATAGTGGGTTTGAATTGGTTTTCAGATTGGGTTTCTTGATTGATTTCCTATCCCATGCTGCCATCGTTGGGTTCATGGCTGGAGCTGCAATAACTATTGGCCTTCAACAGCTTAAAGGTTTACTTGGCATACATACTTTCACAAAAAAGACTGATATTGTCTCTGTCATGNAAAAAAAAAGTCTTATGGAAGGCCACAGAGAATTGGAATATTTTTAGCAGAATCTTCTAACTCTATATGTTCTCATCTGAAATTTTGATGATGAAGTAATTCCTTTGTACATATATTCGGATTCTTCTTCTGATATTCTGAAAACCGTTCTACCATTTTTGACGCATTGATGACTTCATTACAAACATTCTAGCTCTAGAAATTTTGTTAAAACTCCAAACTAAGGAACTAAATTTCATTTTGAAGCGATCGAAACTTCCCAAAAGTTTCCGTTTCCATGGAAATCAAAACGAATCATTGATTGAATATCAAAATTCCTATATTTCAAGTTATTTCGGAAAGTTTCAAAGTATTTCGGCATGTTTCGACATATGTTTCGATATATTTTAACCAATGTTGCAGAAATTAATTTTCACATTTTTATTTGTTTCCATCTTGTTACTGAAATTTTTCTGAAACATTACCGAAACATTTTTGTTTTCAAGCTNAAACAGTTCCATTTTAGACAATTCTGATATTTCTTGAGTCCTCCTTGCAGGATATTGGATATGCAAACCTTGCAAATCTGGCTCCTCAATATGGATTATGTAAGTGACTTTGTTTCTTGTCAGCAATCTAAGAAGGCGGCCTAGTGCATGAGGCTCTCGTAACTCTTTTTTTTTTTTGGCCTTTGGTGTTACAGACAGTAGCTTTGTTCCGCCTCTGATTTATGCCTTCATGGGAAGCTCGAGAGATATTGCCATTGGACCTGTGGCTGTGGTGTCTCTCTTGCTTGGATCTCTGCTGCGGGATGAGTTTGATCCCATTAACCAGAAACTAGAATATCAGCGTCTCGCATTCACTGCAACATTTTTTGCTGGAATCACTCAAGCGACACTTGGTTTTTTCAGGTATTTTGATTCCTTACTACTCGCAAGTCATAGAAATAGCCAATCCGCCTGCAGAGATAAGACTGCACATATAACTGACTTTCTCCGAACTCTACAGTGACACAAGCCTTGAGCACTGGACTGCCTATGTTATAATATTGAGAAATAAATGTGTTGAACATTTCTTTCAACGCGAGTTTTCTACTTTATCTTTCCTTCATTCACATTATAATCCTCTATGTAATCCATGGAGATCATACATCAAAGGAACTAAATTTCGTTTTAAAACGTTCGAAACATTTCCGTTTCCATGGAAATCTAAACGAATTATTGATTGAATATCAAAACTCCTATGTTTCAAGATGTTTTGGAATTTTTTTTTTTAAACTTTCTCTGTTTCCAAAATATTACCGAAACGTTTCCATTTCTAAGCTCACTGAAACAATGAACGAAATTTTGATCCTTGCGTACATCACTAACATAGTGGGTTTGAATTGGTTTTCAGATTGGGTTTCTTGATTGATTTCCTATCCCATGCTGCCATCGTTGGGTTCATGGCTGGAGCTGCAATAACTATTGGCCTTCAACAGCTTAAAGGTTTACTTGGCATACATACTTTCACAAAAAAGACTGATATTGTCTCTGTCATGCGCTCAGTGTGGACTAGTGTGCATCATGGGGTGAGACCTGTATCTGCCTTATTTTTTTCCACTTCAAATCCATATAGGATACGAACCCGAAATTGACACAATCAGTTAACATTATATTGAATGGATCAGGTTACCGTTTGATCAAGAATCGTATTAATTGCATTAGAATTAAATGATTAGTATTTGGTTTTGATAGGATGTGGATCATATAAATTTCTAGTTCATTGGAAACTCATGTCCGGTGAATTTGGTTGGAAGGGCAAAAAATTTTAGTCCTTCAATTTCTAGTTTACGATTTACATGAACACAACATGAATCTAAAATGATTACAACACGATACTACTATTTAGCAACCTTGGGAGATATACTAATAAGTTTATAATCTTTGTGCAACAGTGGAATTGGCAGACTATGGCCATAGGAATATCATTCTTGGTATTCCTTTTGTTTGCCAGATACATTGTAAGAATCCCTATTTTTTCCTTCCCCCTTCATTTTCCTTGTTATTTTCCCTGCATTATGCTCTCCATTTTCTCTCCTTTTTTCTCATATTTTCCCTCCAAACAGGGAAAAAAGAACAAGAAATTCTTTTGGGTGTCAGCAATAGCTCCATTGATTTCTGTTATCATCTCAACCTTCTTTGTATATATCACTCATGCTGAAAACCATGGTGTTCAAATTGTAAGTATGAATGATTTGCTTTTGCAATAAGCCAAATAACTTATTAAGAATTAGGGAAATGACTAAAANACCTTCTTTGTATATATCACTCATGCTGAAAACCATGGTGTTCAAATTGTAAGTATGCATGATTTGCTTTTGCAATAAGCCAAATAACTTATTAAGAATTAGGGAAATGACTAAACTATCGTACCGAAAATAACTATAAAATAAGGTAGTTATAACTCAATTTCGATAAAGTTATAATCCCAAAGGTTGACTTATTGAATAAAAAATCAGAATCAACCCTAACTGTTCAACTTGGTGGCTCGAAATTAATGCTTTTGGCATGGTTTGCCACCGAAAATGAAGGCGAAAATTTTAGGATTGGTCCCAGATAACCTAATTTTGGTCATAATCTCGTTAGATTGAGTTGTAACATCATCCTTAGTTTGTAAAAACTATCGGTACGGTACGAAAAAAGTTACTGTTTTATGTATGGATTGCAAAGTTAACAATCTTCATAATATTTGAAGGTAAATCATATTAAACAAGGCATCAATCCGTCATCAGTGGATCAGATTTATTTCAGTGGTAATTATCTTGTGAAAGGTTTTCGGATCGGCGCCGTGGCGGGTATGATAGCATTGACGGTAAGCAAACTCTCATAGCCAAATTTCAAAGATTTCAGCAGCCATAGATCTGATTTAGTAGAGTTTGTTGTGAATTACAGGAAGCCATTGCAATTGGAAGAACATTTGCAGGAATGAAGGACTATCAACTTGATGGAAACAAAGAAATGGTAGCATTGGGAACAATGAATGTCGTTGGCTCAATGACATCTTGTTATGTAGCTACAGGTGGGTGGCTGATGAATACTCTGACATGACCACACTATAATTGGACAATAATCGATATAAAATTAATGGATTTAAGTTGAAGTTCTGGATTACAACTCAAAAGATGATACAATTCGATAACCGATCCGACTTTAGTATCAAACATACATGACCCGATTTTGAGCCCAGAAAATAGTTTAACTGGTACAGCATGATGAAAATTTCTGATTTTTTTCTTTTTTTTCATTTGTTGACTTGGTCTTGCATGAATGCTTGTGGAACATATGGTGAGTAAATTAAATATATAGTCTCAAACTATGATTTTTGTGTCAATTAAACTCTTGAACTATTTTTTTTTGTGTCAATTGAGTCTCTAAACTCTCTAATTATATCAATTGAGCCCTTCTATATGCCTCCGTTAGAGTGTGTCACTCACATGACTGTGTGATACAAAGACAAAAAGACTCAATTGAGAATCAAGGGACTCAATTGATAAAAAAATTAGGGGTTTAATTGACATAAATGTCATAGATTAAGGGACATATGTGTAGTTTATTTCAACCATTTCATGTGGCACATTTTGCCAATTTTCGTTTGAAAATCTAATGGAGACAGANTATATCAATTGAGCCCTTCTATATGCCTCCGTTAGAGTGTGTCACTCACATGACTGTATGATACAAAGACAAAAAGACTCAATTGAGAATCAAGGGACTCAATTGATAAAAAAATTAGGGGTTTAATTGATATAAATGTCATAGATTAAGGGACATATGTGTAGTTTATTTCAATCATTTCATGTGGCACATTTTGCCAATTTTCGTTTGAAAATCTAATGGAGACAGGCAAAATGACTCAATTGACATAATTAGAGAGTTTAGCGATTTAATTGACACAAACAAAAAAGTTCAGAGATTTAATTGACACAAGGGTCATAGTTTGAGGGGCATATGTTTAATTTATTCAACATATGGGTGATTTGTTTAGATAAGAGAGAAGTGGGTCCTAATTCTAAATTTTTTTTCTTTTTTTCTTGCTAGTGAAAAAAAGGGTAGGGACAAAGGAAGAGACCACCTCGATTGANTTCAACATATGGGTGATTTGTTTAGATAAGAGAGAAGTGGGTCCTAATTCTAAATTTGTTTTCTTTTTTTCTTGCTAGTGAAAAAAATGGTAGGGACAAAGGAAGAGACCACCTCGATTGGCCCTTGTTGGTGTTATCATGAAGTCCCTGATCACATCAATTACTCCTTTTGGGAACGACCGTAATTAGGCTAGTATAGTGATCAATCACCAAGCCCCAATGTAAATTCTAAGATTCGAACCTCCAACTTCAGCGTAATAAGTTCAACCGATAACCACTGGNCTCCTTTTGGGAACGACCGTAATTAGGCTAGTATAGTGATCAATCACCAAGCCCCAATGTAAACTCTAAGATTCGAACCTCCAACTTCAGCGTAATAAGTTCAACCGATACCCACTGAACCACCTACTTGATGGTCCTAATTCTAAATTTCTTGTTCTTATGTTATGTATGTCGGCTTGAACAAGAATAATTAACCAACCTTATCGGGTTAATATAAATACAACATATATGACACAAGTCAATTCTCACCCCTAATTTATTTCTAGAGTTTTATAATTTTTTTTTCCTGTTCTGGGACATGAACGACTGTTGGTTTCTCCTATACTGATAGCAAAAAGGCTCCAATTTACTTGCAGGCTCGTTTTCGCGGTCGGCGGTGAACTTCATGGCCGGCTGCAACACCGCCGTCTCCAACATTGTGATGTCCTGCATTGTATTACTGACTTTACTAGTGATCACACCACTGTTTAAGTACACCCCAAACGCCATACTAGCTTCCATCATCATATCTGCAGTGGTTGGACTCATTGACATTGAAGCAATGATTCTCATATGGAAGATCGATAAATTCGATTTCATAGCTTGCATGGGAGCCTTCTTCGGTGTCGTTTTCGTTTCTGTTGAGATTGGCCTTTTGATCGCGGTAAGTTTAAAATAGAAGCTCGTACATGTTCGTTTATTTAGTAAACAAGCTAAGCCTGAGCCCAAATAATAGCTTGTATGGCTCCTCAACATATATAGTATGTAATGGTTTAACATGCTGTGGTCCAATGAGCTTGATCAAGAGCCTGAATTTGAGTTTGAACTCGGACACAATCTTGCGCTTGATTCGTTTGATCAAACAGGCTGATCCAAGTCGAACCTGAACTTGCATAAAAAGTTAACTAGCCGAGTTTGAAGATGTTTGAAACCCTTCACAATATGGAGTCTGTCCGATCTCAAACGCTCTTCGGGAACGAAGAATCCAAGCCTAAACTTCTTAGCTCAGTTCGGTTCATTTGCATGTCCTACCAAGGATCAAACTTTCGTTTTGCTGCATAGTTTTAGGGAATTTTGAAACAGAAACGTTTCGGTAAATAAGATGAAAATAAAGAAAAATTTTAAAAATTTGTTTCCGAGACATAGGTCGAAGCATCGCAAAACACACCGAAACATAAGAATTGTGATATTCAATCAATGATTTGTTTCAATTTCCATAGAAATGAAAATGTTGCGAATATTTTGACTGTTTCAAAACANTCAGTTCGGTTCATTTGCATGTCCTACCAAGGATCAAACTTTCGTTTTGCTGCATAGGTTTAGGGAATTTTGAAACGGAAACGTTTCGGTAAATAAGATGAAAATAAAGAAAATTTTTAAAAATTTGTTTCCGAGACATAGGTCGAAGCATCGCAAAACACACCGAAACATAAGAATTTTGATATTCAATCAATGATTTGTTTCAATTTTCATAGAAATGAAAATGTTGCGAATATTTTGACTGTTTCAAAACGAAATTTTATTTCTTGCGCCATACATTTATCTTTCGAGTCACCCACCTAGAAGATCTGTTAAGGCTATTAGATGCATCAGGTTGCAATATCCTTTGCCAAAATCCTACTACAAGTGACAAGGCCAAGGACTGCAATACTTGGGAAGCTGCCTAGGACTACTGTTTACAGGAACATACAGCAATATCCAGATGCAACCAAGGTTCCTGGTATTCTTATTGTGAGAGTTGATTCTGCAATCTACTTTTCTAACTCCAACTACATCAAGGACAGGTTTAACACACTCTCTCTCTCTCTCTCTGCCTCTCTCCAATTGATTGCAGTTATTTGCAAATAACTAAAATTAGATGTGTGTGTCTAAACACTTACTACAAAAATGAGTCCATNTCCAGATGCAACCAAGGTTCCTGGTATTCTTATTGTGAGAGTTGATTCTGCAATCTACTTTTCTAACTCCAACTACATCAAGGACAGGTTTAACACTCTCTCTCTCTCTCTCTGCCTCTCTCCAATTGATTGCAGTTATTTGCAAAAAACTAAAATTAGATGTGTGTGTCTAAACACTTACTACAAAAATGAGTCCAANGAGGAACTGTTCTAGCTTAACCAAGGTCTCGAGTTTGAGTCTTGGGAACGCAGCTGCATTCGGTAGGAAGAGGTTTGCCGCCCTTGTGGTCCTATCCGGCTCAAATCAAGATTAGTCGAAGCCTAAAGTGATTTTTGGATACCGGATGGTCTCACCAAAAAAATAGGGAAGAGATGGNGAGGAACTGTTCTAGCTTAACCAAGGTCTCGAGTTTGAGTCTTGGGAACGCAGCTGCGTTCGGTAGAGAGAGGTTTGCCGTCCTTGTGGTCCTATCCGGCTCAAATCAGGATTAGTCGAAGCCTAAAATGATTTTTGGATACCGGATGATCTCACCAAAAAAATAGGGAAGAGATGTTTGTAAAGTTTTCCTGTCTAGAAGGCCTTTGACAATGAATTGTGATTTGGGACACATTTTACTTCCTTTAGTACTTATTGTTTCTTGCACTTTGAAAAATAAATTGATTTGTCCCGTGTCTTTCTATACAGAAGCAACGAGTTGTGCAGGAATTCTCTAGTGAAAGGATGTATCATCATAGAAGAACAGAATATTGTAGCTTCACCTACAACATAGAACTTTCATCACCTACTTGTTATCTAATTGGGTCAGTTTGAAATCATGGCCAACACTTCTCTCTCTCTCTCTCTCTCTCTCTCTCTCTCTCACACACACACACACACACCCACCAACCAAAACAATATCCATTACCTATACCACGTGTTTAAATTCCAAATAGTAGCTCAAATGATTAACATGAACCAACCATAAATTCAAACGTCCTAAAGTTGAATTTTGACATTTTTTTAGAGCCAGATTATAAAAAATTTCTTATCCCTCATAAATACNTCTCTCTCTCTCTCTCTCTCTCTCACACACACACACCCACCAACCAAAACAATATCCATTACCTATACCACGTGTTTAAACTCCAAATGATAGCTCAAATGATTAACATGAACCAACTATAAATTCAAATGTCCTAAAGTTGAATTTTGACATTCTTTTAGAGCCAGATTATAAAAAATTTCTTATCCCTCACAAATATCTTAGTCTCAACACAACATAGATGACCTACTTTTGACCAAACCGTGGAAAAATTAGTTGAAGTGTGCGTGAACTAATCTAAACTCTCCTAACTGTTAAACTAANCATAGATGACCTACTTTTGACCAAACCGTGGAAAAATTAGTTGAAGTGTGCGTGAACTAATCTAAACTCCCCTAACTGTTAAACTAAAAAAAAAATCACAAATTTTAAAGATTGACGAGAAGACCACCACGATAGATCTTCCTTTCAAAAGGATGAAAACACGCCCTTTACCCTTTACTAATAGGTGGTAAGGTAAAAACAAAAGTGACACTACGAGCTAAAAGGAGTGCTTGGATACCACCCCCAACTTTTGGCCGAAAATTAATGCAATTTCTATAGCACAATGCCCTCAAAGACAATCCAGCATGCCCTGACCTAAATCCAGCAGCCAATCCATGCATCTTGCATTCAAAGGGGTGTCAATTTTTAACATAACAACTCGATTACCACACTCGTTTTTAAGGTGCATCCAACTAGCACCATCCAAGACACATACAAGAGTCTATCTGTACAGTTAAATGGGTCGTCATGAAGCTGCATTCAAGACTCCATCTACATTTGAGACTTCCATTGGCAGATACCAGTCGTATATCACTGAAGCAAAAAGGGAATAGACATATTCTAATAATATTAGATAAAACTGATACACTGTAATAGTATCCAGAACCATAATAGGTTCAATGAAACAAATCTCACATAGGAATTCTATCTGCTCAGTACCCACATTACAAACACCTACTGTTATGTAATAGTACTCCATGATTCGATCTAAAAACAATAAGCATCACAACAGTCCCTCCTGTGTTCTCCTCTCATCTCAAAAAAAAAGTACTAACACGCGCTCTCAAAACAAAGAGAGAGATGCAGCAATTAGGGTAAGAACAAGGGACCCAACAGAAATGGCAAGCATGGAAGAACCTGAACTACGTAGAGATGGTGACGGGGCAGCTCCATTAGGTCCTGCGGCAACAGAAGGAGTTGTAACAGGGGTNGTAAGAACAAGGGACCCAACAGAAATGGCAAGCATGGAAGAACCTGAACTACCTTGAGATGGTGACAGGGCAGCTCCATTAGGTCCTGCGGCAACAGAAGGAGTTGGAACAGGGGAGCCAGCAATCGGTGAGAAAGCTGTAGCATACAGTTAAAAATGGTTGGTTAAACTTGTAAAATTCAAAACACATGAATTTGATGATGGCAATTACATAACAACCACTTTTTGGAAAAAAGAAAATGAGTGCAAGATTAGTATCAACCCTCCTAGTTGTCGCACACGAGATTATGACCCCCTTTTCAAGTCTCTTCATTCTATTACCAAGGGAATTACGTGCTCACAACCAATTGCTAAAGAAATAATACCCAAATCCTCAAATCCATGCCCCATCCCTCACCTCTTATTGTCCAAAAAAGAAAAAGGACAAAACCAAAAAATAAAGTTCCAACTTGGTGGAATTGTTTATGTATGCAGAGCCAGGATTTTATCTTGAAGGGGACACTGAGCTATCGTTAGTGTCAAATTTTTGGTTGTATAAAAACTATNCCTCAAATCCATGCCCCATCCCTCACCTCTTATTGTCCAAAAAAGAAAAAGGACAAAGCCAAAAAATTAAGTTCCAACTTGGTGGAATTGTTTGTGTATGCAGAGCCAGGATTTTATCTTGAAGGGGACACTGAGCTATCGTTAGTGTCAAATTTTTGGTTGTATAAAAACTATGGAAATAACTTTCACACGATAAATTATAGTATTAATTAATTTTTAAAAAATTAAAACATTAATTGAAATTAGTCAAATCAATTACATGCAAGACTATTTCAGTTTCATTCATAAAAAAAAAAAAATCAGTTTGATTTCATTATATAATCACTTGGCACCATTAAATTTTACTATACCCAATACGTCATGTAAAAATCTGAACAAAATGAGAAAGAGTATGTGCATATCTCCAAANAAAAAAAAAAAAAAAATCAGTTTGATTTCATTATATAATCACTTGGCACTATTAAATTTTACTATACCCAATACGTCATGTGAAAATCTGAACAAAATGAGAAAGAGTATGTGCATATCTCCAAAATCCATATTCTGTACAACATTGGATCCAACATATAAGGTTCAGAGAAATTACATTTTGTCCTCTTAAATTATTACCTTGGTTTCATCTTTTTCTTCAATTATTAAATTGAAGCCGTTGCACCATTTACCATTCAAATTGCTAAATTTTTGCACAAATTGTTAAATTTTAATTTTTCTTAAATCGTTCCATTTTGGACTAAGGTAGTTCACGACACTATTTTTAATACTTGGGGGTACAATATGTTTAAAGCAATAGTTAAGGGATAAAGCAAAACCAAGATCACAATTTAAGGGTGTAAAATATAACTTTGATAACTAGACAGGCCATGTAAAGTGAAAAACAAGAATATAACTTTTGGGTTGAAGTATAATTTTTTAAATAAAGAGAACTAATTTAAAAAGTATAAAGTATAAATCTAGAAAGTTAAGGGAAGGAAGGAGGGGAAGGGGGGGGGGGGGG